TGATTATTCACATTTCCTGTAAAAGGTCAACATCTTTGCTACCTCTTCTAGTTTCTTTGCTTTGGTGGATGAGGAATCCCTAATAAGCCAAGATGGTGCTGTACATCATTTACTGTAGTAGTATAAAGTAGCTTATTTTAGATAGTGTGAGCAATTTGTGTATCCATACATGCTCACAGGATATGTTCTTAAAGAACAAATCGATTCATGTAACACCTATTTAAATATTTCATTATATTTAATTTAATTTATTCATTTTTAACCTCTGTAAGAACAGCCATTATATTAGTGCTATCGCCCCATCCTACACTGGGGGCAGTTGGTGGACTGGAAGCAGCACTACATGCACTCTGCAAAGATGATTCTCTTAGAAATGGAAGTAGTTTTCAAATTATGTCCAAGGTCACAATGTGATACAATTTACAAATCAAACCCTGAGTGGGGTGCTGGAGTCCGTGTTCCAAAAAAAACCATGAGGACACCCCTAGAAAGGATCCCAGGCTTCGTAAAGAAATAAAGAAGATACAACTTTAGAACAAGTGGAGACTGTGAGGTAGGGCCAAAAGATCTTAATGGAATGTTGAAATTCTTCCTCCCCAGCAAAGAATTTGATTCTCTTAGTTGTTGGAATTTGGGGTCTGCAGGCTTCTTTCTAGCTTTTAGCACAACATGGTGAACTGAGGAAATTTGATAATCACAAGTCAGTGTTATTTAACGAAGGGTTTAGATAAATTTGCATATTACAAAAGACCCCAAAAATGAAAGTTCTGGTTTTCGTCCCAGCAAAACTGATTCACAGCCACACTGTGTGCACCCTGAAGCATGGAAGGCTGCTTCCATGGGTGGAGACCCCCCCTCCCCGCCAGTGGTCCTGTGTAGACTAAAGGAGCCAACCACAGGGTCCCCGGTCCAGCTGGAAAGAAAGCCCCTTTTCTTACCATCCGCTTCTCCAGTATAGCATTCAGTACTTTTCCAATATTTATTGGAGCCAGAAGTTAAAGTGGATATAAAAAGAACATACCAGGTGGCAGGTTATGGTGGTTCAAAAGGACGTATGAAAGGGGGACCCTTCGGTGCTGTGAGCAGCATCCGTTGTCATAATTAGCAAATGTTAGCTTAAGAGCCCAAAATTTAAATAGAAAATGATTTCTTATGATGACCTCTGCCTGTCTTTTGAAGGCACTCCGAGAGCCTGACCAGTGCCAGGAATTAGTTCGACCAATTGTCTCAACCTTTTCAACTGCATAATGCTTTCCACTACAAAGAGTCCTCAGTGTGCTTTTCATGTGTAAAGAAAGTTCTTACTCAACCTGTAAAAACCTGGCAGATGGTGCAGTAATTTGTGTATCCATACATGCACACAGGATATATTCTTGGAGAACAAATCAGACTCATGTAACACCTATTTAAATATTTAATTATATTTAATTTTGATTTATTTATTCATAGTTTTAACCTCTGAAGAACACCCATTATTTAAATTAATAGACAGGTAAACAGCATCAACAAAAATGCAGCATTTAATGCGGAAGATAACTGACATGCATGAAGTCATTGTATTAAAATATTGGTTTTCCTATTGTTTTGCACAGATGGTGCCAGTAATTAATATTGTGCTGCTTTTTTCATTAAGGGATTCCCTGCTGACAAAACTCCCACTGTCTAAAGTAAGCTACTTTATACTACTGCAGTAGATGATGTGTAGTTTATTTATTTATTAGTGGTAATACATTTTTTCAGATGCAAAATATGTAATACTCTTAATGGTCAATGCATAATTGAAGTTAATAAATTTGGTATGATGGACCATGTGTTCTACTCTGAAAAAATGCATAAGTTGATCATAGATGTGTAACAAATGTGTTCACTGCCATCTGGTTTCTGAGAATAATATCAATTTCAAGAGATAGAAGGTATCTGAACCACCAAAGGTAACAAGGAACAACATGATCAACCTCTTAATAATTAAAGAAAAAGAAAAACCTTTTCCGGAGGGCAGCTCCCCCACCCAGGTCTTCTTTAGTAGTCCGGAAACGCTGAGGGACCTCAGGGGTTGTAGGAGCACGGGGACCCTAAAGGAGCTGTGGTCTCCCTTTGTACTCGGCCTCTCCTGGGCCTCAGCCCTCTGCAGGCTGCAGGGCCGCACCTGACAGCAGCTCTTCCCACCTCCGTCTGGATCAGGTGTTCGGCAGGACCTCGGGAGGCCCCAGGAACGAGTCTGAATTGTACCAGCACCTCCTACAGAGGGCATCAAAAGTGGAAAATTAATGTTAATAAATCTCTCCTTATGCCTCTTTCAGAGGGATCAAAATATAACAAGCTTGTTTCATTTCTGAAGGATTTAAAAATGATCGCTCCTTACTTCTACAGTGCCATGGAAATGGTGTTTAAATTACACGCGATGCTGTGTAAATTACTGGCCAGAAAATTTTCCAGTAGCAAATGAAATTTTAAAGCAAGAAAACACAAAAGTAAACAAAGTCATCATTTTTTTCCCAGCCTTTTTTTTTCGAATAAAATTAGGGTTGGTCTAGAGCCCTAGGAGACCCTTCCAATCTTGGAGTAAGTTGTTCCTCTTTCATCCGTGCCAGTGGTCCTGGTTCTTCACCCAGAACTTCTCCACTTGGCACGGAGCAAGGGAAGCCTTTGCACGCTCTCCTTTCTCCTGCTACGGTGTCCCCACTCCAGGCTGGAGACTTCTCCCCTCTGCTCTGTGATGATGGGGAACCTAACACTGTGTTATGGGAGAGCACGTCTGGCTGTGGATCGTGCACAGCAGGGCTCAGTGCCTGGGAGGACACAGAGCTGGAAATGCAGAATGAATTGCACACGGCCGCATGCCATTCTTACTTCTGTAGGTTCAGGAGTTACCAGTATCTTCCCCTTTGCTGTTGAGTTCTGAGGTCTGGGGTGGATTTCTGCAAAACACAGCTGGATCATGACTCCTGGCAGAAAAGAGATTTCCAGCCAGAGATGGCCTGGCTTTGGCTGGTCCTAGCGCTCCTGAAGGGCTCTCCTTTTTCTTTAAAGTATTCTTTCTATAGTCATCCTGGAAAGAATCTAAATTCACTTTCATTTTCAAACCAAATATCTACCCGCTGCACTGTATGGTGTGATCTTCAGGAAATTCAGAATGTGGAACCTAGTCTCACACACACCTGGGGCCGGGGTTGAGTCTCTCTCACTATTAATGCGCTGGGCTCCTGGCATTGTTTGCTTTGGGAAAAAAAGAAAAGCAAATGCAACGAGCTCTTAAATCCCCCTATCTGAGACAGCTAGCATTGTATGAAACTTCAGGTAAGGACATTAAAATTCAAATTGTGTGTCACCTCAAGAGTATTTTTTGGAGAAATAAACCTTTTTGAACTTTATAACAATGCTTTATGAAATGTGAATATTTTCCTAAAAGGTAAACATCACATTTTCAGAGAGAATTTATTAAAACATCTTCTTAACACACACACACACACACACATATGGGATACCAATCTTACTTATTAGTGAATATATAGAAAAACAGCCACTTATTAAAAAATTTGCATTTGTCAATCAAATTCAATAATGCAAAATATACATCTGTATTTCAGTCGATATTTTCCAGGAAATAAAATAGCAATAAATTCTACAGCCAATGTAAACCTTGTTCTGAAAGTAAGAGTTTTAATTAGACATTAAAGGCATTATCAAAATTAATTTTTATTCTGAAAAATATTTGCAATTATAGTTACAAAAGTGATTCAAGTGTGTTAGAAACTTGGTTGGAGAGGTGGTTGTGAGTAACCTATGAATGATTTTCATTTTTTGTGTTAGACTAATATGGCAAAAGAACAAACTAAGCATAGTAGTGAGGTGTATGTAAAATCAGATCCATGAGAAACTGGGATGTGTTTCTAACAACCAAGGAATAGGGCTCAAAGGAATCTATCTCAGGCAAATCTCTAATGTTCATTCTGAATAAATTCACCTTTACACATTCAGCAAGAGTCTTCATTTCAATCTATCAGCAATAACTATTACATTTGGCTTATTCTATTGCATTGACAGGAAAATATTTTATTAATCATTTTACTTGTCATGGCTTATACTTACATGCATATTTTTGCATATTTCTTGTTCTCTACTATCTTTGATTTAGATTGTGAAACTAGTAATTATTTAAAAATTATTTTTGTCTTCAAAACTTAAGGAGACTTTAGACATCATTTGGATTTTTAAATTTCTAAAAGAGAAGAAAATAAGTATTTTGTACAAGTTTCATACAAATTAATTACAGCTAGGAACACTTCAGAGTTCAATCACCTACACCCCTGCTGCCCTGAGGCCACGTGTTCCCCAAGGGTCTGGAAGATGCCACGGGCCTGGGACTCACATGTGTTGATACAGTAAAGGCTGCATTAAGTAGTGAGGAAGGAAGGACAGACAGGGAGAAGGAAGGACTGATGGACTGACAGAATGTAGTCTGTAAAAGATGAGAGCAGAGACATCTGACAAATGACACGGAGTGTTGAGCGGGATCAGTATGGGGCAAATGAGCCATTGTCCAAAAGCTTTGTTGCGGACCTGGGTTGCACACACACTTAAGGTTTTGTTTTTATGGAAGAAGAGACGATGTAGGATCTAGAAAATATGTGGGAGATACGGAAAAGAATAAGGGCATATTTTATAATCATTTAGAAGTTAAGGCTGACATCTTTTTACAAAGTGTGTGCAGAATCGCAGGCAATCATAAAAACAAAAATACAGAGTGCTATGTTTTGGATTATACAATGCTCAGAACTAAATATATTTGTATAATGAAGTAATTCATCTTTACTATAATACTGGACCTTGTCCTGTCACCCCTTGGTGTTCTTTTTTTCAGCCAACTGTAAAATGCTGTGGTTTAAATTGAATCTTTAATCTGTACAATCGATTAACAGGAGTCAAAACAGAATGAAGATTGGGGTTAAAATAAGCACCAAAATTTGTGAATATTAAAAACACATTTCGCTGTTTTTCAGACTTAGAGCAAGGCTCTGAAACAGTGCTGGTGAACCCATGGCACACGTGCGCAGTAGGCTGTTTGATATTACTGAAAGCTCTAAAAGGTTTTCCAGCACTGCTCTAAAACCAACGCTGCCCCTGCCCTGCTGAAATACAGACTCCTCCATCCACCAGCTGTGTGCCTGGGCCTCAGTTTCTTCATCTGTAGAAGAGAAGTGATTGTGGCATCCATCCCCTGTAATTGCTGCCGAGGTCATGTGAAGCCTGACAAAGAGAATATTACCAGGCATGGATGCTGTCATGATATCAGACTGCTACAATAACTGTTTTAAGTGAGTACTTTGAAATGTTTATATGACATGATTTAGGGTTAAAGTAATAAGACTTGGTCAGGGCCTTGCATAAACATGTAATATTAAATGTTTCTCGTCTGGTAAGAGTACCCAGAAATAATATCTAAAGTGTATGTACATAATCTATTTTAAGCTAAATATAATACATTTTCACTCATATTTGTTAAGTAACTCCTCCATATTGGGCCCAAACTGCTTTCTCATTAAAGAGATTACCTTGAACCTCGTGACATCTTGCCCTACTTGTAAACTTCATCTTGCCTATGTCAGGAGACAAAGTTATAAAATTATGTATTTTCTTCCCACAGATATATTTCTACAGTTGACTTGCATTTTGAAAAGACCTTTAAGAAATAGCAGGTTTTAATGATGAGATCATCTACAGTGGAAATAACAGGCACAGCTAAGTGTCTTTATCCAGACAGTGGCACTGTAATGGTACTGCCATTTCTCCTGACCTGGTGCGTGTGCTTAGATGACACCTGCCGTGGGCGTATGCCTAGCTGCCTTACGCTTCTTCCCTGTGCTCACATGGTCAGAGGCAGTGTGGTATTCTTTCCCTGGCTCTGCTGTTGTCTCTACTTCGCCCACGTTCCCAGACTTCTGCTGTCCCTAGTCCACTCTCTATAAAGCCACTCACAGCCAAGGATGGAGCAGTTTTGTGCACCAACTCTACTGCACAATGTACACAACTTGCACTCCAGGGTGAAGCCAGACTTCCCCTGGAATCCTTTCTTGTTTAATGTCTCGCCATTGTCTAGTTCGCTTCTCTTGCACTGGTACAGACTTTTCCTGAGTGCACAGTTGATAAGTCTGTAGTACCACATTCAATTCTCAGGCTCCTTGTCTAGCAGCCCACCTGAGACAGTTAGGTAAAGGTTAAGCAGTGCATGAGGAGTCCAAAGCCCCACACTGACCCTGAAGATGGGATTCTAGAAAAGTCACCTGCCAGCCGGACTCAGTGTTCTCACCTAAAGCAAGGATAATGACACTTTGCTTATCCCCGAATTCCTGAGAGTCACAGCTATAAATAAAGACACAAAAAATAAGTGTTTTCAGTTAACACAGCTAGGTAAACTTCTAAAATTTTCTTCAAAATATAACACATTTCTTATGAAAAACATTGGCATCCACTTTATAAAGCAACTACTCTAAATTGTTTTATTCTGTTTTTATACAATTCTGAGAGTGAATTTTTCTGCTCTGTGGAATTGTGCTACCTGAGTTGAATTGCCCCAAAGCTAAATAGAAAAGGATTTGTCGCACACATTTAAAAAATTGTCACTAAGCTAAGGAGAACTGAAGCCGGAACTGTCCTCACACTACAGAACATTCAGAAGAATCAGGCTAAATGCCTTCCGGCAGGGAGAGTCCTGGGGAGAGAACCGGGAGCACAGAACCTTTCCTTCCTCCCTGTCCCCCTCCTGTCCTTCCCTCTCCTCTCTAATGGCGAACGACCCCTCCATGGAGCCAACCCAGGTCGCGGTTTCTAAAAGATGACACTCTACCTGGATGCTATTTGAATGTTTGCATTTTGGGGTGTTCTCTCCACTATGGTGCAGCTGAGCACAGAGAGACACCTGAGGAAGTGCCACATCATTGTGACAGCTAAGCTTGGTAGTGTCAACTTGACAGTCTGGGGAGCCGTGGAGGGGCTTAGAAGGGCACACTTCTGGGTGTGTCTGGGTGGATTGTGAAGTGTGGCTTTGGTGCTGTTCCCATGCTCTGCTTCCGAGCTGCCGTGAGGTAAGCAGCTCTGCTTCTCTATGCCCTTCCCCCATGATTTTCCTGTCTTGGAGCCTGCAACAATGGACTGGATGCCCTGAAACCATGAACCAAATAAACCTCTCCTTTTGGTTGTCTAGCAATAGGAAATTCCACAGAATACAAGTGAAAGCAATGATTGAAAAGAATCAAAACACCTAACCCTGTACTGCCGAGTTCAAAATCCTTAACAAACTCCATACACCTCAGTAGATAATTTGACCTGTGAATTCTGCAAACTAAGTCTGCACAGTATCAAAATGAAGGTTCATGGATCAGTCCTAAGTGGTCACAACACAGAAAGGAATTCTAGTTAGCAGCTATGTGCATGAGTTTTGATGCCAGACCAAATTTAATAGCAATCACAATTCTTCACTTATCTGAGGGACTGGGCAAGCTTCTTAGACTCACCAGGGCTTGGTTTGCTGATCTGGAACAAGAGATAACAACCTGTAAGTTGTTGTGAAGATAAAATGAAATTACAAATGTCAATCAGAATGCTTGGCACATGGTAAACATTTAAATATTAACTACTGTTACTTAATATAATCTGTAATCCAAAATAGAGCTCTAGGTCTTTTATTTTTCAAACTTGATTATGCAATATTTAATTCTTCTTAGCTTGCACTGCACTAAACAGATATTTTGGAACTTACAATTGCACAGTTTAAAATATAAAAAGAGAGCTTATTCATTTTTTTTCACTTTCCAAATATGTACTACTTTCAAAAACCTGGAGTGGAGTTAATTTGTAAAGTTAGCAAATAAGAAAGTTGGGTCCTCTATCAATCATTGATGAAGTAGCTTATTTTGGTTACTTTCTCCTTGCTAGGATAAAAATACTTGACACTCACAAGTTAAAGGAGAAAAATCTGATTTTAGTTCACAGTTTGTGGAGATTTCAGTCCATAATCAGCTGGCTCCGAGGCAGGGCAGCAAGGCAGGGGGCCTGGCAGAGGAGAAACAGTCCATGGCAGGGAAGGCAGGAAGCAGGAAGATTTTCTTCTGTTTTCCATTTTATTCAATCCAGGATACAAGCCTCTTGGTTGTGCTATCCATACCTAGGGTGGATGTTCCCTTTTCAGTAAATCCATTCAGCCACAGCCAGAAATGTGCTAAACCAATCAGTGGAGGAATCTAGTATCACACACCCATCAGCCAGTCACTCCCAAAAGCCACACCTATGAGCACATGAGGCTTGGGGGGAGGGGGGCTTTTCGATGTAAACCATAACACAGTTCCCACCCCAAAACCTTTTCCAAATACATCGGATAATACACTTTGGAGTTTAGTAAGACACCAAAGTTGTACTGTTTCATGTATTTATGTATTTAATAAATCAAGTCTACCCATGTTTTGTCCACAAAAATGTTGAATGACAGCCTGCTTATTAATTTTCTCCTAAGCTGAGAGTCCCCTCCTTTCAGTTTTTCCCAATTGTCAATATTTCCTTTTTCTCTTTTCTGGCCCTTTCTTTATCCGCTTTGTAGTGAGTCCTTTCATCCCACCCAGCAGGTGTGTGGACAAACTCACCCACTGGATTCATAGGGCTCTGACTTCCTGGCTGAACCTTGGTCCAGCCTCTCTATTCATGTTATGGTTTGGGTTTTGTTTGTTTTTGTTTTTCATAATAAATGTCATTTGAAAAATAAGATTTTTCAGCTGATTGTTTTGTACATTGTGTCAGCTCAGGGTTTAGAATAAAAGACATAATGATTTCCCAAACATATTCCTCAGAACTGGTTTCCTAGACTTATTCATCACAGCCCACAGACTGGGTCTGGGAACTCACAGGTGTTTCCACGACAAGGGCAGCCAGAAAGGTAGAACAGTTGCCTCTGGTGGAGCTGAGAGGGTGGTGAGGGCTGAGTCTGCACACACTGGAGTGGAAGTTAAAGTACTAAACAAGGGCGGGGGAGCTCAGAGGCAGAGCACTTGCTTAACAGGTACAAAGGTGTTAGTTTGATTCTCAGCTTTGTGAAAAGAAAAGAAAAGAAAAAAGAAAGAGAGAGAGAAAGAGAGAGAAAAAAGAGTTGCTGAATGGGCTGGCAGTGATCAGCATAATTGTCCTAAACTCTGCTTAAACTTCCAGAATGCTGAGGAAGAAGACATTTTCAGGACTCTCTGGTGAGCTTTCTCTTGGAAGAAAGGAGTGGATGCCCAGAGCAAGCAGGATATGGAAGATGGAAGATGGAAGATGGAAGATTCTGGAAGATGCAGGTTAACAGCTGGAAGAAACATTTGGAAAAGAGTCTGCAATGGGAGAGCTGTATATTGTAGAAAACTTATCACTGTGCCATCAGATAAAGCAAATCTCTTTAAAAATCATTTTTACTATAGCTATTAAAATCTAACATCTATTACAATTTCTATCAGACAGGTATCTGCGGTTATCAGGATATTGTGTTCCTCTGAGGTGGAGTATGGCCATCGTCACATGGAAGTGGTCTTTATTTCAGAGTAAAAATAACTGGTTTTCAGTTCTCTGAGGTTCTCAATACGTAGAGGGCAGGGAAACCAAATTATTCTTCATTGATCCCATGTTAACTAGCACATAAGCCCAATAATGGGGAGAAATGTGGAAAATTTTCTTTTTATGAGAGACATGCCTATAGTGGAGATCCATTTTTAGAGTAAAAATTAAATTATTATATGCAAGGAAACAAAAAAAGAGTGAATGATGTATTATTTAGAATTTTAGCTTGAAGAGCAATTTGGATAAAAGGGACAACAGACACAATAGGGGAGGAAAGATAGTAGGGAACTGTTTCTTTAGGAAAAATAACAGAGAAGAAATTCAAAACAGGTCGTTTGGATTCATGCCCTTACGTTCAGTTCACAGGCACACTTAATAAATAAATGCAAACTGTTATAATTAACATGACAAAAGAAGATGTTTCTAATGATGCTATAATTATTAGAAGAAACTCCTTGTTTAACGATTCATTCCTCTCATAGGAGAGATCGGGTGTATGTAAATTTTCCAAAGTAAGCTATTCAGCCCTCTCATATCTGTGTCTCACCCGTATCTTACAATAATAAATATATAGTTCATATTTACTGGAGACATTAGGCCCATGAAGCAGAGAGGGACAAGTAGCCCTTGAAAGAAAACAAAAGGACAAAGAAGTTCATGCTAGTTATATGATCACTACTAAGCATATCATTGTCGCAGGTCATATGTTCTACAAGTTGCCACGGAAGTGTTCAGTCTTCTTTCTACTCTTTCAGAACCTTACCATCCTCTCACCAGAGAACTGGAGTTTATCTCCCTTCCCCTTGTAACTGAAGGCTGTGTGTAGGTTTGCAACGCATAGAATGCAGCAGAAGAGATTGAGTGACCTCGGAGACTCAGTTATAAAAGATCACATGGCTGTCACCCAGCTCTTTCTCCTGGATGGTCACCATTGCTCCCAGCCTCCATGTTGTGAGGAAGCCCAGCTCACAGTGAGGTTGCATGTCAACAGTCCCGGCTATGGTGTTACACAGAGATAAAGAACTAGAAAAGCTAATTTGGCCAAGCAGGAGAGAAATGACATCTCCCAATATGGACTACAACTGTAGAACAGTTGAGAATAGCAGTGTGTAGAGCACAAGGAGTTTATTTTAGGTAAGCTGTTGTTTCAGCACAATACTTACATCACAGTGGGGACATAGCACAACTTCATTTAATTACATGGAAACCACATACTGATGAAACCAGGTATCTCGACTTTCTGTGTTTCACTCCAACAAGAAGATTAAAGAGTCAGTACAAGTAAAGGGGACCTCTGTTACCTAATCTCTCACAAATTCTTTCTCCTGTGCTTTCGGTGATAGCACGCTATCATTATTTCTCTGCAGTTAACGAACTACTATATCATGTGCTTGATTGAGCTGCCGCTGAGGTTCTTTAGCTGCTTGTTGCATGGGAAAGGTAAGGATTGTGTCTGGCTGAGAACAGGATGCGTCTTCCCCAGAGTGGCAGAGTTAGCACAAGAATGGAGAAGTCAAGCAAGGGGAGCCAAGCAGCATCTTCCCAGAGATGGATAAAGAGGGGTGCACCTCTTGCTCTACTTATTCTTTAGCTGTAAGGACACCAGCAGCCAGTTCCTCCTGGAAAAAGTCTGGACTCATAGAGCCAGGCCATGGAATGAGAGGCTCCATCCAGAGCGATGGCCCACAAGACCCCATGGCCAGTCGTGCCCCATGCTACTTGTGTCCCCTGTTTTCTAGCTAGGGATCCAAAAACTGCCTTTTTTGGCTACTTGTCAGCAATAAGCCCTAAATGGTATTTATGGAAACCGTTCAGCCAATATGAATCATTTTGAGACATGCACATAACAGGAACACAAACGCATGGTTATCACAATGTTCTCTTGAGAGGCAAAACGCTCAGGAAAATACAGCGGGAAATTAGGCAACTCAGATCAAATCACAGCAACTGTTCCAGAACAGCACCTAAAAAGGGAGATAACTCAGAAACATTAGAAAATTCTAAATGAAAGGAATTCTAACATAAAATCACAAACACAAAGAACCTCAGTATTACACAAAAGACCTAAAAAGAAAAAAGACAGGAAGGAAGGAATGAAAGGAAGTGAAAGAAAAGAAAAGAAAGTCATTTCTATTCCTTGATAATAAACTTGTTGCCATCTGTTTCACAGTAACACGATGGTTTCATTTCCTCCAAATGAAGCAAATATTGGATATCAAAAATTGAGTTGCAAAAATAATTGTTTTAAAGGAAATAAAAGAGGTTAGGCCCTAAACAGTGATGGATGGCCCAAAGTAACATTTTTTTTCCTTGCAGATATTTTAATGATAAATGGATTCTCTAGTCAGAAGTACATTTTGTACTAAAAGAGGGAATAAGAGGAATTTACCCAGAAAGTTGTATGAACAGCCACGGGTTGTCTTGGGCTATTGTAATTCAAGAGTTTGTGAGAATTCAAAAGGTGCCAAGGCTGATGCAAATCATACCAAAGTTATAGGAATGGCCTTTTTATTTGCATCCCGAGCAAGGACAGTAAAAAAGGGACCAGTCCATTTCACGGATCAGAACGTAGAAAACTAAGTGGTGTGAAGTGGGTGCGGTTCTAGTTCGCTGGCATCTTCTATCAACGAGAATGACTTCCACCCTGGGAAAGGTGGAATAGATAGGGCTGTCGGAGTGGAAACCTGAGGTGGATTGGTAGGTAGTAGAGTGCCAAGGTGCTGAGGAGAGAAGCTCTTGCCTCTGAGTCCAGAGCCTGGTGCCCTGTGTCATCACCTCTGTGGTCCCCAGCTCAGGGGAAACCGGCAGCACTGGCCAAGGAGGGGCCGGGCAGCTCAGGGATGCAGTGGGTGCTGCATATGTGGAGGGCCTGGGTTTGAGTCTAAGCAACCCCTCCCCAAGAAAGGTCATTAAAAGTCACTCAAATTTGTTTTAAAGTAGTAAACTTAGATGCTAGGAAACTAGACTTTTATGTATTTAAAAATTGTAGGACTTAGTATTAAATTAGTTTAACAAACATTTAGTCAAAAGCCAAACCAAAAGTAAACAATGATTGCTAGACGCAGAAGTGCACACCTAAATTCCCATCACTTTAGAAGGCTGAGGCAGGAGGATTTTAAATTCAATTCCTACCTGGGCCACCTCCTGATACTACGTCTCAAAAAATAAAATAAAACACTAAAATGAAAGAAGGCTATGGATGTGAACGCCCTGCGTTCAATTCCCATTACAAGAAAACAAAAACAAAAACAACAAGAATAACAAAAGACAAAAATAGAAAACAAACCACCGATGATCCTGTAGAGATAGCAGAGGTTCATCAACAATACACTATGAACCCTAGAGCACTTTGTTTTCACAAAATATTGTAGCAAAGGAACAACAATATAGAGCCGTTCTTACGGGTTTCATTGTTACAGTGTACGCAAATACACCAGCCCGATTACCCTACAGGTGGCAACACACAAAGTCGTTCATGTAAACAGGCCTGAAACTACGAAAAGCCGTGCAGATGGATGAGGTAGTAGAATATAATGAAGACAAAATAGACTCTGGAGCTAAATGGCCTGGTTTTGCTAGCTCCCGTCTGACTTGGGGGCCAACCACCTAACTTCCCGCACCTTTAGATGGAGAGTAGTAGCGCTGTTGGTGACTAAATGTAAAGAACTTGGATCAGGTCTGGCACAAAGTCAGAACAGCTAGCACTAAAGGGATGCTAACTTTTTGTCACTGTCATTATTTCTCAAATTAGAACAAAGTGGGAAAACAAACTAGGGAACCATGAATATGCATATTTGTTCAGACCGACAAAACAGAAACAAGTAAGTATACCAATTATTAAGCTGATATCAGGATCATTTACTCTTTTTCTTCTTTTTCAATTGTTATTTTTATTAGCACATATTTGCAGTACACATTGATCAACGCCTTGCGGGGAGCTGGCCCAGGTACCTAACACATCCGCATTCATTTTTCATCCTCTTCTCTCCCCTTCCTCCATGTCTTGGTCTCCTTCCCATTTGCAAAAGATCTATCTCCCTATTTTCCATTATCTGTCTTTTATTTGCCTCTTTATTTATACCTAAGGCTTCTCATATAAGAGAAACCCTTAATATTTAAGCTTGTGTGTCTGATTTTACTTGACATGACGGTCCCCACGCGCATGCATTTTCTACAAGTGACTCATGTTTCTCAAATGAATGTTACCTGAAAACCTAATGTGTGCCATCCCCAGAGAAAGCATGAGAGACACAGGGATGGAGACAGCAAGTCTTTGAAGGCTCTAGCACTGGGACAAGCAGGAACTGCTCCTTTCCAGGTTTGGAGCACTGGCCTCTGCACTACATACAGCATGCTTTGAGAGGCTTGGATGGAACACAGGCTTTGATATAGCATGGTTTCTCTTATATGAGAAACTCAAAATATAAATATATGAAAGAGAAGAATAAAAGGTGGATGATAGAAACAGGGAGATAGATCTTTTGCAAATGGGAGGAAGACCAAGAGATGGTGCAGGGGGAGAAAGTGGAAGGGGAAGCAATGAAGATGTGTGTGTACATCACTGACTCCTCACAAGGGATGTAACCATTATGTACCGCAAACATGAGCAGTAAAGAGAATAAAAAACTCATTGCAAGAGTGGAATCGAAATGTGCATGGTAGTAAATCAGAAAAGAAAAATATTTGGACAAAAGGAGCCAAAGGTCTAACCAAAAGAAGATAAACTTTTAGTGAGGATAAAGCCAAATAGTGTTTTTATTTGCAAGTGTAATTTTATTTTAAAATAATGTATATTGATATAGATGGATTAGAAATTGAAAATTTCACCTTTAATCCTAACATATCTATAGTCTTTATACCATTTGTATAAATATGAATACCTTCATAATTATATGCGTATTTTATGTACAAAAGGATATGAAAAGTGAATCTATTTAACTTAACACTGAATTATGATGCTATTCTATTCTGTAGCACACTTAGTTCCTGTGAAAATGTGTATGTATCACATCATGAGATATCTCTGGATATGAAGTGCAGTGGTACGTAACACAAATTCTTTACAATCCCAGAGCAGCTTCTGATTGTTTGGGGCTGACTTCCTTTTCCCTTTCTTCCTGGGCACACAGCAAGACTACATTTTTTGCTTCCCTTGCAGCTAGGAACAATTTGGTGACTAAGTTACAGCCAAGAGGAAATGAACAAAAGAGATGGGAGAGTCCTGATGCGATTTTCCATGCTCTTTACTTTTCCACCAGGGAGTAACTTTGAAAGTTGCAAGTTAAAGATGATACAGCTATAATTAGGAAAGACCAGACTTGCACCATAGTTAGAGAAGAGGTGTCACAGGACTCAGAGATAAACAGTTTCCCTTTTCCACCCGTCATTTTTTGGTTTACTTGTTACTGCAACTAGCACTAGTTCAAAAAAACCCAGATACTGAAAACTTTAAATTGTGCCCACTTGATAGCTGCTGTCTAGTATCTCTTCAGTTGGAATGTCTTTGAGGGTCAGCTTTGACATGATAAAAGACAGAAGAGATTTGGCTGACTGATAGTGGGACATGAACCTATCGCTGGATTGACTTGGAGTGGGCTGGGAGATGATGCTCAGGACGGGGCAGCAAGTCATCCTGCAGTCAGACCAGCTGGGACTGCACATCCAGATCACAGGCCTCAGGAAGGACAGCTGGCCACTGCAGCTCAGTGGAGAGGACGGGACCTTGTCCTGGGCTACGGACACCATGGGGACTGAGGGCTGCACAGCAAGAACGGTACACGCCTCTCTTGAGAGGGTTACACTAGTCACGAACTCAACACGAAGCACAGCTAGGCTACCTTCATAGCAGGCAGTATAACTCCAAACTGAAGAGAAGAGAAACCACGCCTTATGGAACGGATTGTATCACCTTGTAAATATTTTCAGTTGGCGTCTTTCGCCACATGAAACAAACAGGAAGTTCCATGCAAACACTCATGAGCACACCCCGTCATACCTGCTATAGCGTCTATTGGAAGAAACTGACTTCTCAAGGATAAAGCTAATAATGAAAGGTAACATTCATGAAGTGCTTAGATTGTACTACATCCCATTCTAATTGCTTTTTTGTTTTAGAGTCAATATTTATTCTATTCTCTTTAAAACTTTTATTTCTTATCAGTATATGTTTGCAGCCCATAAAGATTACACTCATCATGGAGAGTTGGTGCGTGCATGTAACACATCTCAGTTCTTTTTCTGTTCTGTCTCACCCCCACCATCACTATTTACAAAAGACCTATCTCCTTGTTTCCTGTTTTTGGTCTTCTATTTTTCTCTTCAAATTATTTGTACTTTTGATTTCTAATAAAAGAGAAACCATCTGATATTTAAGCTGTATTTATTTCATCTAACATTATGGTCTCAAAGTGCATACATTTTCCTACAAATGACTCAAGTGTATTCTTCTTTATGATAGAGTAAAACTGCATTGTGTGTGAATACCACATTTTCTTTATCCATTCATCTGCTGATGGACATATGGGCTACTCCCAAGACTTACCTCTGATGAGCTGTACTGCTATAAACATGGTGGGCATGGCTCATGTAATATGATGTCTGTAACTCTTCGGGAAGATACCTAGAAGGGGAACAGCTGGGTCAAATGGAATTTCTAGTTTTAGATTTTTGAGTAATCTCCACATGGATTTCCACAGAGCTTGTACTATTCTCACCAAAGATGTAGAAGGGCTTCTTTCCCTGTGTAGCCTCACCAGCATTTGTTATTATTTGATTACTCGATGATGGTCATTCTTTGCAGGTAAGAAGTGATCTCAGGGTTCTTTTACTCTGCATTTCTCTAATGGCCAAAAGAGTTCACTGCTTTTTCATATGTTTATTGTATTTTTTCTAAGGAGTATCTAGTCATTTCACTTGCCCATGTTTTGACTAGATCTTCTCCTCTGGGGAGGTTCATGATATATTAGAGATAGAGTCCTCTGTCTATGGAATAGGTGCCAATTTTTTTTCCCATTCTGTAGGGTGTGTCCTCACTCTGTAGGTTTTTCCTCTGCTGTGGAGAAGCTTTTTAGCTTGGTGCGATCCATTTGTCGAATCCTGGTAGCTTCCTGTGCAGTGGGGCTCTGCTCAGGAAGTCTTGTGACCGTGAGTTCTTGGGGGAACACCGTGTTACCATGTCCATCGCACAGGGGCCCCGGACCGCAGCCGCACCGTGACTTCCCCACCTCGCTTGTGCGTGCTGCGGTGAGGACTGAACGGAAAGCCGCAGCTTTAGCTTGAGGCTCATCATGGAAAACAGAAGGAAACGAAGGGCACAAGTAACGCATTTTTAAAGAAAACGATTGTGGGATCCTGAAAGAGGTACCAAAACTGTGTGAATTTTCATAGAAAACGTTTCAGTAGGCGGATTATTTTTAGGTATGACCATTTAAAAACCATGCCTCTCTTTGAAAATATGCCTATTTATTTCTCTTAAGGAGACCAAAATGATGTAAGTCTACAACCTAGGAATATTTTCTTAAGACAGTGAATTTTTTTCTCAGCCTTGATATTAATAAATCAATATTAAATTGTAAAAACAAGGTTCCTTTTTCATCTGGAAAACTGTGTTATCTGTGTTTATTTTTATCAAGTATTAGAAAATTATATACTTAACATTATACTTTTAGCTGTCAGATTGCATTTATCAAATGAGCCTGTGATTCAGCAAATCGCGGGCCCAGGTCCACGCATTCCCGGTGCCGTGGGATCTTTCCTCAGCTGCCTTGTCGGGGCAACATCTCTGCCTCGTGGGAGCAGGGCAGTCACCCTGCACCCAGTGTTAGAGGGGGCCGGGATGGTCTCACAGCCCTGTCTCTCTTTGACCTCCACTCCAGTCTCCATTCCAGTGTGAAAACAATTTCTTCCAATCTCCCCCTCCTCTTATTTCCTTTTGTTCTAAAACATTGACTGATTGTAGCCTGTTTCTCCCTCTCCCAGGGCCTGCCACGGGCTTGAGGTCCGCTCTGGGAGCAGTGAAGGCTTGCACCCTGCAGTCCTAACTCCTCCACGCTCACCTACTTCTTGGGGACCCAGGATGGGGCTCTTTCTTCCTTATAAAATCAAAATAATCAACGTGTGCCTTTTAGGACAGTCTTACTTGCATGATTCCTGTTCACTATTACTTCACCTTTTCCTCATCTTCCCACAACACAGATTGGATATTTTTATTTGTCCAGGTTGATCTAGTTTTATGGTCGTCATGGTGATATGATGACGATGATCTCAAATGTCTCTAGACTTGCACATGGTGGTTCATGCTCCAAGTAAGATAGAGAAGGGCAGGAGCAAAATGCAAATTGTGCAACATTTAAGATCAACATTACTCAA